GTTTCAAATCTCTTAATTTAGTTAATAGGAAAGAGAAAATAGTTCATTTCATTAGAGAAAACTGAGTGGAAGAGACATTCAGTTTTACTCTTAAATTTTTGAGTTTAAAAATTCCAATAAGCTGAAATACTTCTATAATATAAAAATTCGAGTATTTTACTCTTATTAATTCGTCTTAAAAACCCTTTTCATTTGTTTTTATTTTTTCAGTCCTGGTTGACATTTTCATGGAAACACCCATATGTAATTAATTTCAAAAACCAGCTCTAATTGGCGCATGCATTTTAATTTGTTGACGTTCGTATTAAGCCTCCTCCTCTATAAACATGTTGCTTTTTTTGTAAAAATTAGTCAGCAAAGCCCAAACAAATTATATTATAACTAGAAGACCCCGAATTAGCGGCAAGTTTTAAAATAATATCCCCCTGATAATACATAAAACAGGTAAATTTTTGTCACGTGTAAACAGGTGATTTCCAAAAAAATACCACCAAAATATTTTCGTGCCTGCAGTCCGTTGATTTTCGCACGTAAACAAGTGAACAAAAAACAACAAACCTGTTTTCGAGAATCGACTTCGGGTTCGTTTCATAACTAAAATGTAGCACGCCACGAACACATGACAAAAGGGTATATAAGTCGAGCGACGGAACCGCGTCCAAAACATTTCACTGAATGAAGTCAAAGTGTGCAGATCGACAAAATCAAAAAGCGACGAAATAAACATAAAATCTCTACTGGAGATTATACCAGTTAAAAATTATACATTCACAAACATATTTTTCTAATTTGTTTTCAAATACAAGTTAACATTGGTAAATTTTCCTAACCGATGTCAAATAAAGTTGTGTGTCAATGAATAACCGAGCAGACACCAAAGCGAAACTACTTAACAATTTAAGGTAAGTTTGAAATTTCTTGTACATTCATACTCGTAACTACGTCCGCATACTTCTTTATCAATCCATGTTAAATGTTCTTAATTCAATTTCCTTTTAGCCTTTCCAAACATCTTTCATCCAAACAAGGCGGCTCGCGTACCACCAATTGTGGCAATCGTCTAGAATTTGCCTTACTTACGCTGCTACAAAACGTTCCTTGAATCTAACGCGCCGCAAACCTCTCCTTGCTGACTGATCATTGAACAGCCCGTCATCTCTCGTATTCTAGTTAGTCGGAAGTTTTTCTAGTACTTCATAGATTTTTCAAAGAAAACAAGAATCAAACCTTCAACAAAATGGTTCAAAAGCATCGTTCAGCTTCGAAAGCCACCTTAGCCAAGGATGTGAGTCCAATGCGGGTTATGGCGGTCAACAAGAAAGCGCTCGCCTCGAGTCCCGCCACCAATACGGCCGCACGCCTTAGTTTGCCTACAGCAGCAGCAAGCAGCAAGAATGCAGACAAGTGGAAATACAACAACATGGTGAATAACCAACGTGAGCTCTTCAATAATTTGCATTTCTACTGAGTGAACCTGGGCTCGCTTCCTAGGGGACGCTAAAATTTAAATATGATTCTGCAATACTCATCATCGTTGTAAGATCTACAGCAAAAGTTCATTTTTCAATGGTTGAAGGGCATACGCATGAAAAATGACAGGAACGCCTATTCATGTTGTAGGTTTCAATTATAAATGTCTTCAGTTAAAAAGCTATTAACAGTAAGATCTCCAACAAAAGTTCGGTTTTCAACGGATAAAGAGCATATGAACGAATAATTACATGAAACGATATTCACGTTGTAGTGTAGCTAGATTTCATTAAATAAATTAAAAGTTTAATTAGTAAAAAGCTTAGATTTGCTTAATCATATTCTTATAACCTGTTATGAACTCACCAATATTCCACTAAGTAGCTCCGTTGAGATGCGGGGCTCATTTGCATTTTTAATCAAGTGAAAAAACTACTTAATTGATGCTGATACATCAAACCTGTATGCCATCAAGCGTAAACTTCAGACTGAAGTATACGAGATGCTCTAGAAAGTGTGCAGTGGAAAAGATCAAATTAGCTAAATAAACGTGTCACATGCATGTGTGAGGCTGAATGTTGGTTTAATACCAGCACTTGGCGCCCAGACTCACACACTGTCGAATCTTCCGTGATGGCTCCAAAACTGACTCTGGGTGAGTATATGGGGTCTTCATCGGAGTTAATGGTAATAAGCTTCACTTTTCTCTTGTGGATTATGCTTCGGTCTTCCACGCTGAGGTATTTGCAATCCTCAAGGTCATCGACTACATGGTGGAAAACGGGTGGAGGGGAAGGATTTTTCGTATCTGCAGTGACAGCCAAGCTGCACCTAAGGCATTGGCCAGCACTACAACTACTTCCAAACTAGTTCGGCAATGTAAGTCTCGACTAAATTGCTTTACTCTGGGTGCCAGGTAATGAGGCATCTGACCATTTGACCATAAATGGCTCAGACCAGGCATTGCTTGGTCCGCCACCAGTTATATCACTCCCGCCTTCGGCCATCGAAGCCACCATCATGTAGGTGTTTCGTTGTTATTTAATTTTGATTATTTTTTTATAAAATATAGTTCATTCTTTAACACAAACCGTGTAAATCCAAGTTTCCAAATTTGTGCAATATTAAAAAAAAAATCAACAAACTTTCGTGCAAATTTCGATCTTTTTTAAAAATTCTAAAAAATCGATCGTAGTTTTTAGCCATTTGAAACTTTTACTCTATTCTACTAGAATTCAATGGGCTACAAATCTGCATACTCAGAATCTAATTAAAAAACTCGAAATTTTTACGAAAATTTGTTGAATTTTTTTTTAAATTGTTATAAATTTTTAGGGCAGTGGCACTCGATTGGTACATTTATACAGATTGGTACATTCTTATATTGGGCTATTGGTACAAAATAATAAAAATAGGAACATTTTTTTTTTTGTAGTCAAAAGATTGGTACAATACAGCGATGTTCTATTGAAAAATTTCAACAAATTAATTTTCGTAATTGGGATAAAGAAAAATATTTGGGATACGATTTGCACCAAATTTTGGCAAATACCCAATCTTGTGACACTGCCTTTAAACTTGTATTTATACGGATGTTGTTTAGGAATGAACTATAAAAACTAACCAAAATTAAATAACAACAAAAATATTATTTTAAAACTTGTGAAAATTTGGTGCGGCTATAATTTTTTCGACAACTGTAGGTACATTAGACTGCATCACCAAAAAAAGTTGCAGTTTTTCCGGCGGGATTACCAAACCTAGTATATTTTAAGACTTCTACCAAAATATTTCGGAAAAATATTAAGATTTACGTGAGCTGGACCGGTTTGAAAATACCTCTAAAAATGGATTTTGTTATGAATCAAAATAGTTTCTTAAAGGATTTTTTGTTTTGGAAAAAATCCCCTCAGATGACAAAACAGTTTAAGCTAAAAAAATCTACATAAAAATATTAAAAAATTGTATCAACGGAATCATAATAATAAGATTTTTGATGCTGTTTTTTAACTTTTTTCAAAAATTTGTGTAAGAAAAACTGGAATAACTGCTCCAAAACTTTACCGATATAGACTTATGAGGTATCAGTGGAAAGGTATTTTCCCGCCCTTTTTATTCCTTTGCAAAAAAACTCATTCACGTCCCAATTTTTTCTTTATTCAATACCAACGCATCTTAATTCAACATGGAATGACACTCGTTTCTTAACTTCCTCTTTCATTCTTTGAATGAGCTTATTCGCAAAGAAATTAAAAGGGTGAGAAAATACCATACCAATGATACCTCATAAGTCTACATTGGGAAAGGCTTGGCTGAGTTATTTAAGTTTTTCTTAAACCAGTCTTTGAAAAAAGTGCAAAAACAGCATCAAAAATCTGATTATTATGATTCTGTAGAAATTTTTTTTTAATACTTTTATGCAAACTTTTTAAGCTTAAACTGTTCAGTCATCTTAGGTAATTTTTTCACAAAATATTAAAAAAAAAACTGTTTTTATTAATAAAAAAGCTCGATTTTTGGAGGTATTTTCAAATCGGGCCAACTCACTTAAATCTTAATATATTTCCGTGATATTTTAACGGAAGTCTTAAAATATAATAGATTTTACAATCCCAGTGGAAAAATAGTACCGCTTTTTTTTTGTATGGGGAGTGATGCAGTCTACTGTACATAAGTTAACTGATTACTCGCCGTGTATCATAGTAGCACAATGCCACTAAGTGCATTTTAAAATTTTCAGGCAATAGCCTCATGCAATTATCGATTATATTTTTTGTTTTTTAATATTTTTATTGAGCTTTGTACCACGATTGTTTGTTAGGAAAAATTGAAAAAGCAACAAAGTCTAAGCGGTAGAAGTTATAGCAGCTATTTCGGAGATCA